GCTGCGATTTACATCTGGCAAAGGGAGGGGAGGGGAGTCCGGGAAGGAGGCAGCTGGGCCTGCACAGTGGCCACTCCCCTGGACGGAGGTGGCTCCAGCCATTGTGTTTCAGCCCATTTGTCTGCACTCGCCCACCATCCTCCCCTTTAAAGCTGAGTCCTGGCTTCCCAGGACAAGCGCTGAATGGAAGCCAGTCAGACAAGGAAAATGCCACTTACACGTTCATTAGCCACTTAAGCCAGAAGGGAGCTTTGAAGTTGGGAGACAGTTAAATATTCGCAACCATCATAGACCATCATCGTGGCTTTTACAATAGCCATGTACTTAGTAGGTTTTGCTCAGCTCATTTTATTTAATTCACTGATCGAGAGAGAGAGAGAGAGAGAGAGAGAGAGAAATATGGATTTGTTGCTCCACGTATTGATGCATTCATTGGTTGCTTCTGGTGTGTGCCCTGACTTGGGATTGAACCCACAACCTTGGTGTATCAGGATGATGCCCCAACCAACTGAGCTACCTGGCCAGGGCTTCTCTTTCTTTCCTCGTTCATTCTGAACTAAAGTAAACTGGTGTAATAGAGAAACATATCGCCCCAACACAAACAGTTTCAGACCAAAACTTTGAGCCTGGGGTGTTTTCTCTCTGCTCAAAGGGAAGCGCATGTCAGGTGGGGCTGGGTACACTAGCGCCCCACTGGGACTCTCCTGAGCATAATTAGAGAGAGATTTGAAGGGAATGGCTGTCTAGCTCTGTATCCATCATCATCTCCACACCATGGCACATGCACCAGCTAAAGCCATCCTGGGTAATCATGGGAGTAACCGACCCCAGCTGGGCGCTAGCTGCCCCCGGGCTGGCTTTGGAGTCCCGGGGTGCATTATTCTGGCCCACAATGCTACAGTCCCCTGGTCACTGATGAGGACACAGAATTGCAGAGAGGTCACTGAGCCACGGTGTCTCCACTCTGGTCAACAAACTCAGTGGCCCATAGTGCAGGCTTCAGCCAAAATATAATTTAAATAAAGTGCCTGGTTTTAACAAACAGAATACCCATTTGCTCAGCCAAGGGGTTCCCTTTATGAGCAGCCATGCTGACACACATCAGTTCAAGCAATTTCAGTGGCAAAAAAAAAAAAAGGTATATTTTGATGATTTGGGAAGAGAAAAAAGAATATAGGTATCAAGAAACCGTGGTCCTTTAAAGAGAAAATGTATGGATTATGAAGAAGATAAACCAATTCTCTTTTATGAATGGACACTGTTGGTTCTACCGTGTGAACTTGATTTATCACCATAATTTTGCACGATGTTGCCATCGGGGGAAACAGGGTGAAAGCCACGCCTCTGACCCGTCCTTCCTTACAACGGCCTGAGACCTGCACTTGCCCCAGAATAACAAGTTTCGTTTAAAAGAAAGTGTTAAAAGTGCTCTGAGAGATAAGGTGTTATTTTATCCCAAGAAGCTTCCATGTGTAGTATTATTTCATGAGAACCGTAATCAACCCTCTTTTTTGCTGTTTGGATTTACCCATTTTACAGGCAGGAAAACTAAGCCAAGGACCATAGAATGAGGATTTAAAACTGAGCTGCAAACTAAGGGAGGCTCAAGAAGGGCTATTGTTACAGTAAAAGCTATTATCCCCAGACACACACTGAGCACCTGTTATGCGCAGGAAAGGATGTGGCAAAGCTCTGCTAGGTGGTCACTGACCACATTCTATTAGCCATGTCCAGGCACAAAATGTGGGCAAGCATGAGGTCAAAGATGAACTCGGACCGGCAACGTGATGCTATGGGGAGGAGACCAGAGGACCCACCTCGCTCTGCCCTCCTGTGACTTTGTGCAGGTCCCTCTGCCTTCATCAATCCCCTTTGAGAGAACCCCACACCCCCCCTCCAAAGCCGGGTGCCTCCATTTCACAGGGGAGGGAAGCAGCTCACGTGGGGTCTTACCCACACGTCATTTCAATGTCCAACAACAATGGTAGGGATTTCTCACAATTCCTTGGGTTCTTCCTTAAAACACCCAATATTCAAGGTGACCAGTTCCAAAGCCTCGCTTTCCTGAAGCCTCCAGTTCTATCTGTAAAGTGCATAAATCGAGTGATTTTACCAAAACAGAAGGACAGTCGCTCTGCTTGTCACCTGAGAGAGGTCAAGGGATCTTAGACAATAAGACTTCTTTACAAGTGAAAAGTATAATCTCCTTAACCATTTGAAATATCTTGATACATTTCACTCGCTTGATGTTGAAGTACTTCTAATGCCGACCAGCAAAACGTTCTTTAGCAATTAATTTTTGTAAATCTAATAAAGTAAGTGTATAAATATGCAGAATTTTAGGTTCTCACAAACTGTTCAAAGGCTATACAAATGGAGTCAAACATGGGTTGACCCTTGAAACTTAAAAATCACAGGACTAAAATCAGTGACACACTTTAAATGGAAGCCACATGGCCGATGGGTAGAGTTCCGAATACACCATGGTCTCTTAAACATGAAAGCCCTGAGATTACCCTCAATTTAACCCACAAGTAATTAATACTATGGGTGTCCATTCTACTTTGTTACTTCTAATCCTAGTTATCGTCTCACTTGGCCCATTAAAAGGAAGAGGCAGTGTGTTAATGTCCCATCTTGGAGGAGCTATGCAACAGGTTAAAGACCATGGGACTTGCCCCAACAGCATAGCTCAGTAGTTGAGCATCGACCTATGAACCAAGAGGTCAGGGTTTGGTTCCTGGTTAGGGCACATACCCAGGTTGTGCCCAGGCTCAATCCCTAGTGTGGGGCATGCAGAAAGCTGACAATCAATGATTCTCTCTCATCATCCCTCCCTCTTCTTTCCGCTCTCTGAAATCAATCCTATATAATAAAAGGCTAATGTGCAAATTGACTGAACAGTGAAACGACCGGTCGCTATGAAGTGCACTGACCACCAGGAGGCAGACGCTCAATGCAGGAGCTGCCCCTGTTGGTCAGGGCACTCCCACAGGGGGAGCTCTGCTCAGCCAGAAGCCCTGAGCTGGGCTCACAACTGGGGAGCACAGCAGAGGTGGTGGGAGTCTCTCCCGCCTCTGAGGCAGCACTAAGGATGTCCAACTGCCGGCTTAGACCCGCAGCTCCCAGACTGCGAGAGGGCACAGGCCAGGCTGAGGGAACCCCCTGAGTGCACAAATTTCGTGCACCAGGCCTCTGGTAGAAATATAAAAATAAAAAAGAATAAAAAGAACGTGGGACCTCAGTACAGGTGCCCAGACGTAGCACCTGAGTGCCAGGTGCTTCTGAGTCTATCTAATTGGATACATGCAAATATTGTAACTCCAGGTCAACAGCCTTCGATGGAGATTGGGTTGCAACCTTAATCTCCTGGCATTTCTTTATCCCAGTCTCTCACCAGCAGACCCCTGTCCCCGCCCCCATTCTCATTTCCTCCACAGTCTCCTCATCCGACCTGGAGCCCTTTCAAACACAGAGCCCACTGAACATGCAGCCTTCTCCTTTCCATCTCTAACAGTGCTCACAATAATCCTCTGAAGGTGAATACGCTTATAGCCATTTTGCTGATAAGAAAAAATGAGGGTTAAAGATGCTCATTGATTCACCTGTCAATATAAATGGAAGGCTTGGAGTTTCTCCTGAGACTTGTCTGGTGTCCACATGGCAGATCTTGGGGTGCACTCCTCCCCTACTCCTCCAAGGGGTTTCTGCCTCGGGTCTCCATCAGCAGCAGCATCCTTCCTCCCACACATGCTGTACCTGACGCTTTCCTAGTTAGAACCCTTCACACTTCCTCGAAGCAAGAAAACCAAGAGCTTTAAAATCAAGGGAATAATAGCAAGTCTGACTGAGGCAACGAAACTTGACAAGGAAAACCAAATGTCAGGAGGAATGGTGACGTGATTTAAATTCTCCTAAAGCAAGAAGTTTATGCATGTCCTTCCTGCCTCCACTTTTCACATTGGCTCATCACTTCTTCTTGTGCTTAGAAAATTATGAGAAAAATAATCTGGCTTTAGTTTTATAGGAGGGTGATAAGTATCACATTGGACTATGGGCTGTTGATTTTGGCAATAAAAAAGGTAATCAGTGGTTTTTAAGGGCTCAGAATGGTTTTATTTTGACCATTATGAACTGTATTTTATGTGACACTGTATTTCTTTTCCCTGCAGACAGATAACCTTAAAGAACTTAAATGAGGTGAGTGACAACTTCGTCCCAGGAAACAGAGAAGGGGAATTTTTGTGCATGAAGGGTCTGCGGTGGGCAAGATATTATTTGCTTTAAATACTCAGTTATTCGCATCTCTATTCTAAAGGTGGGAAAGCTACCCTAGCCGCTTTGACTCAGTGGATGGATATCTCTCATCATTGATATTTCTCTCTCTCCTTTCCTCTCTGAAATCAATAAAAATATTTTTTTAAATAATAATAATTTAAAATAAAGGTGGAAAAGCTAAAGGCAAAACAAGTTAAGATCCAGATTTTAAACCAAGATCCTATTGGCCAGCATATTCCATGTTTACGGGGCCAATGATGACAACATGCCTAGTTCCCCTGGAAGACTGAGTCTCCACCATGGCTTCCAGTATCCAGCGTGTCAGACATGAAATGTAGGGGACTGTAGTCTACCTTGCTCGGTGTTCTTCACAGGAAAGCCAGGACTGTGAAGTAGGAGAAACACAAGATACAGAGTCACACAGACCTGGGTTTGCAACCTACTTCCCTGTACTCTGGAAAATCTCCCTGCCCCCACTACATCCCCAGTTCTGTTTTCCCGGCCATGAAAGAGGGATGAGTGCACTCAACTTTGCAAAGTTGTGCTAAAGTCAAAGTGACCACGCACATGACCAGGTGAGCGGCAGAGGCTCAATCAATGGCATGACAGTCAGTTAAGATGGAGATATCTTAGGGCCTCTTTGGATGTTTACTTCTTTTTTTTTTTTTAATATATTTTATTGATTTTTTACAGAGAGGAAGGGAGAGGGATAGAGAGTAAGAGGAAGGTCCTTAGGAAGAGGGTGGTGAGTCCACCATGACTGGTGGAAAGTCCCTGTCCAACAATGTGAGTGTCCTCACTTCATGCCCACTAGCCTCCTAAGGGATTTGGTTCTTGTCTTATTATGAGCCAGTGCAGAGGTTGGCTTTTCTTCCTCCCTCCCTCCCTCCCCCCCTCCCTCCCCCTCTCCTTCCCTTCCTCCCTCCCTTTCTTCCTTCCTTTCTTTTTTCTTTATTGGCATTATGAGAATGTAAAATCAAAGGTTGAATTTCCAGCCCTAGTCAGTTTGGCTCAGTGGATAGAGCATCCGCCTTCAGACTGAAGACTCCCGTGTTCGATTCCAGTCAAGGGCACATGCCCAAGTTGTGGGCTCAATCCCCAGTAGGAGACATGCAGGAGACAGCCAATCAATGATTCTCTCTCATCATTGATATTTCTATC